GATATCAGTCTACAGTATTGACTAAAACAGACCTTAGATAATCGATAATCGAAATCCAGATTCGCCTTCAGTGAAAGGTTCAGCTGATTCGCTGGAGGACAGTTTCCCAAATCCGTATCATTATTCACCTATAGTGTCGGCAGCTTGTATAGCAACGGGCTAGTCTTAGGGTCTGTGTGGCCTGGTAACTTCATATCAGTGTACAGAGAGCCTGAGGTCGCTCAAGATGCAATTTACCAGTCAGAGTAAACAACGGGTAGCTGGTAGCTGACTAATAATAAGGAACTACGCCAGTGAAGCATCAGTGGCAACACTGATGTTGCTGTCTTTGATGATGATGATCATCCCCATGTCTGAACAATGCGGGTGGGAATTCATCCGGACCAGAAGCTCGGTGACGCTTGAAAGAACATATGCATTCATAAACCATAGGGGTTCAACGTTCACCGACCAGGGTTCTACCTCAATTGTGGGCTCCAGATGAGTGGCAGCTGGCGGGTACAACAGTTTGTTCGAAATATATCGGTCGAGGCGTTCTTTATTCAAGTTGGTTACTCTTTCCGATCCTTGATGGTTTCGCTCGTAGGTGTTTTCCGGGGTTCGGTAAAGCAGATTAATTGAAATAGTCCTCGGGCATTACCGGCTTTTTGGGCCTCTTCCATTTCCTTGGCTTTCAGTGTCCACCACACTTCACGCTCACTTTCACTTGACATCTGGTAATTCATCGAGTCACGTTATGTACGCTACCGACTGGGATATTCCTCCGAAATGTATGCAGTACCAGTGCTCGGTCTGATATCCATTGCTTGAGTGGGCCTGCCAGTGCCTTGTCACAATTAAAACTCCCAGAGGTGGCAATCTGATCCGAGTATGAGTTCACATTTGACGGTGGAGCATTTGGAAGAGAATCCAGAAGACGATTCCGTTAAGTTCATGTAACATCCGGATTTGCCTGTTTCCCAGTTGCTAAGCGGTTTGTCCGCACCTTACACAGCCCTGGAAAACTGAGATAGGCGACTCCGGACGGGCGCATGATCAGAATTCACAGATGTGTTCCAAAAACGACCGGCAGTTAGCTATCGATCCGCGCCATTGGTGATCAATGATAATTTGATCATCTTAACTTCGTGACCAACAAGCCATTGTACACCACCATGTGGTCAGACAAGCCGGCTATTCCGGAAGTTGGTGCTGTATAAAAACAGTCTGTGGTCAGCACAGCCCGATCTATGTTGACTTCATGCGCTAAGCCTGCCCACTTGTGCATTCAGATCACTGGCAACCACGATGTCCGAGCTTAAAGATCGCCGCAACAGGGCATTCATAAAAAAACTCGTCGTGTCAGAGCTGCAGCCAGTTGAGACGTAAGCAGATAAGATAAGTAAACATCGACCAACTTCCTACTTGAAAGACTGCTTCACAGACATTGCCAGACGAACCGCACACAGGTGACTACCAACGGGTATCCACTCAGGCAAGGATCCTCCTGCCCGTGACTTGGAACGATATCAACCCCTGCACATCCTGCTGCAGCAGCCCCTGGATGACCGGAGATGCATAGCCGAGAGCGGATGCAGAGTGACTGGACGGTTAGCTCAACTACTGCGCTTGAATTTTGAGTTCTTGCTTGTGAGACAGCACACGTCAATACCAAGCGAGTCCAGTGTGAAAGTAAGAGCAGCTTGTTGTCCTGCTTCCTTCAGAGTGCGGACATAGAAGGCGGTTAGATAGACCGGACGTCGAGGCTTGAATACTGATTTCGAGATCATGAGAATTTCGGCGCAGGGGAACGCGCGGATGTTGCTGGCAAAACCGATGCAGGACGAACGGAGTCATCAGTCCGAAGTAGGGTAGAATTAGTAATGGGGCGGGGATAGGGAGAAGAATAAGTGTGAAAAAGGAAGGAGGCGTTAAAAGTAGCCTGTATTCGCTTACCCACCATGCTGTATGCAACGGGTAAAGCGACGTGTCTGATACGAACACGCGACGGCCGATGGGGAATGAGAGCATTGCTAGTTGTAAATGTCATGCTTGTACGTGGGATGGGATACTGTCAGGGTATTCACACATGGACAGGAGGACAATTATGGTCTTCAACCAAAGCTTTTGGCTCAAAAGCCTGACCGCAGGTCAGCGGCGTTTGGCGGGAAACGCAAATATATTTTCTTTTACAGAATACGTCGGGTTCGTTTTCCATCCTCCAATGTGGAGAACCAGGGAACTGTGTTCTTCAGACCTCTAACCATTCAATGAGCTAGTATGAGGGTTTGAGTGTCACGCGGACGCCCCCCGTTATAGCTCAATGTGGCGCCGAGGTACACAAACCGTCACACTACGGTAAGGTTCAGTCCATTCGTGACGGCACCAGCTGTAAACCAGCCGTGGACTTAATTTTACTATGTGGCAATCAACTACCGGTAGGAAACTTTGATGAAACTGCCGCTCATTTAGGAGTATATCGGCAAATTCTGATCACGACACTGTGCTGGCACGCGTATGCATTTGCTTTCCCTCGTGAACACGCAAGTTGATGCAAAGTTCATTATTCACAAAGCGCCTCCGAAGCTAAACAGCATCTAGCTCGGTGGCTGAGAAGCTTTCAGAAATCGAGATCGACGGCCGTAATGATGATTTGGATGACTGGATAAAAACTGAAGAAGTCATGCTCATAGTCTTTGAAACCATCTGGCAGATTTCATTCATACACGCCAATGAACAAAGCCCTGACTGAAGCCAAGATAAATACACCACCAGCAAACGAATGTGATGATAATAATAATCGTTCGGCCGTAACACCCTTCCGGTGCCTAGCTGCCATGCCAGCCGAAAGCACGAGAGCTGGAGTACTGCCAGGTTGCCCAGGCCCAGACAGGGAAAGTCGAGAGGTAGAGGTCGGATTCGAACCATCGACCATCCGGTCAGTACATTTGCGCTCTAACCACTGAGCCATGTCGACTGTGATGGGGTGCGCAAATTCCTCAAACGCCTAACAGAAAAGAGCCTAAGGTTTGAGGGAGAGGCTGATGGATCTCAAAAGACCGGGAAAGGGAGAAAGCTCTTGCAAAGGAAGCAATCGCAGCGTTTCAGACAATTCGGTCAGCTGGACAGAGGATGGTGGGTTATTGGGACAATATCCGAAAAGGATGGGTCGTCAATCTATTCACAGAAACGTCACGTTGAACGATTGGCTGAACACCCTGAAGAACAATTCAGAACATCAAAACAACCTCGGGAGGGACTTAATAAATCCTAATGGGACATCGACATCAGTATGCATCGATAATGGACGTTCAGTGAGCGATTCCATTGATTCAGTGCAACAAAGCATCTGATCCAGATGATTTACACCCCGTAAACTTCAAAGAGGTGGCGAGTCCCTCATGACCCCACTTCAAAGACGACGATCGCGCATTCCAAAATAGGGTTTTCGTCAGCAACCACGTGAACACTGAGGTTCAAAAGGTCTAGCGTACGTCTCACTACCGCGATGAACACCAAATCGAATAGAAATGAAGAGAGTGGGCATCTTTTTGTATGGGAACTTTTGGAGCACTTTTCATACGCTCTAAACGGCCCCTGTTTAGGCCCACGCAAACTAGTAGTATACCAGCCCTCTTATTCACTCCGGGTGGTGGCACCTAGGCATCAAAAGGGTGCTACAGCCGAAGCTTGTACATCCGTGCACGCCCGAAAGAACTTGTCGCACTGGCGAACTCCCGGGATAGTCCATGTTGATCAGGCGTGTTGAGGGGAACAAAGCTTACGGCTGATCCAACTGAATTTTCGTAACCCGTAAATAACAAAATTGTGGGACGTACATGCGCCCCCGACAAACTGTTAAGTAATCCTGCCTGCTGTTATCGTGTCACTGCCCCGAAGGCCCTCATAAGTCAAAGAAGGACAAGTGACGCCAGGAATCTTTTTGAGAATGGAAGCGAGCTGACCCGTAGTGTCTACCACGTTCACTATGGGCATATTTGAGAACGGGCACTATTAACGATTCTCCGAATCTGTCTGGGGCTATCCTTTCCCTAAATAAAGGCAAATCGATGGGCCAAACGCTCACTGACCTCACCTCCATCCTTGAACAATCAGTGTCGGAAGACCCTCGGACCAGGTGTATGGTGGCGCAGTTATATGCCTGATTCCACAGGGCATCCCAGGTTCATCGTCCAGCAGGCTACCAAGAGTTGTTGCCCGATATGTGAGACCCAGATGTCAGGACGTCCCTCGTCATTACAGATGGGGCGATATGGCGCGAGTTTACTGACGGGGAGGTCCGCAGTTGGAACCCCACCTCTGCCCCTCGACTTCCCCTGTCCAGACTTGAGCAACTTGGTGGTATCCAAACCCTTGTGCTTCCTTCGGGTGGCATGGTGACTAAGCACCGGAAAGGTGTTACAACCGAATGATTTTTTATCAAAGATGATCACGCCAGTTTACCTACAGGCGATCTTCGGGGACGGGTTAAACGAACCAAATTATCGAATTATTCGGCGTTCCTAGATTCCTCTGTCTCTTCAATCTCTGTAGACTTCCGTATCCATTAGGCTTTACGCTTGCAACACACACCAAATTTCAGCTGATCCGGTCATCCGTAAAGCGGAGTTACGCTGGGGACCGGTGAAAGCGTCTGTCTGACATTCAGGTAACGCCACTATTGCGTCTGATACCTGCCCCTGAATTTCTGCCATTTTTAGCCACGTTGTACATATATATCGATTGTACACTCCGTCCTAGCTTTCGGTTCCTGTTGTGGTGCTGAGCTCGGCATGAACTCTTTCTCACTGGCGCTTTTGGGTGTTCACCGTTAGTATGCGTCATCTACTGATCTACAGTCTGTGCTGTTGGAGCCAACTGGCGTGGGGAAGGATTGGGCATCAGGATACAAACATCATTGAAAACCCGACCGGTCAGCGTGGTTTCCCGGGTTGCGTTGGAGGCAGTGAGGTGAAAATAAGAAAGATTGTTTCATTCGAAAATATACGTGGCCGACTTACTTTATGGCGTCGTCTGTGACATTTTGACAGCCTTTTAGGAAAAGCTCTCGAAGGAATCCACGGCTGCGCTGCGCGATCTTCTCGATTACCTTGGGCTAAATTATGGATTATTACTTGTGAACATCAATCTCCTACGTGAACGTCACGCTGAAAGTCAAACAAGTTTATACTTTTCCAGTTGCTCCCGTCGAAGGCACATTCATACCAGAACTGCAGTTCAGGTCATACCACTGGTGAACTTACCTTGCAAACCTGCGAACATTTACATAATGTTGTCATATCCAGATAGGAAAAGATCTTGATAATCAACTCTTTTGGTAACTTTTCATTGATGCAAACATCACATTTTTGGTAAGCGGTCGGCTACGGATACATGTAGGTAATATATTCCAAGTATACCTTTCCATTACTGATTACACCACCGTTCGTTATTGAGTAGTTTGAAAAGGCATCCATGGTGCATAACCTCTGCTAGCTCATGATACGGCCCAGTCGACCCTCATCCGAGAAGCACTGACCGACCAAAAGGACAACTACCAGCCGATCAGCTGACTTCGTTTGTCCGTCAATAGTAAATAGCTCATTAAAACTCCCGAAACTGTGCGAGTCAAAAAGCTCTAAATTAGACATGATGTATGTGAGCGAAAGTGCTTATTAGGGCGATACATCCTGAGTTGAACTCATTTGGTAGCACTGAGGCGCAATATTCAAAGAGTTATAAAGAATTCAAGGGATTCCACACAAGCGCACATTAACCAAAACACAGATTAGGGTTTATTCAGGTTGCGCAAATAGGACTTATAACTTGTGGTTTCCTGTGGTTCCACACCTGGTTTGTTCGTGGAACTAGGTTGAAGGAGGAACCATCATAGACGTATGTAGGACACCGCATGGGACGTGGATTGCGTTTATAAGGGAGTTGCAAAAGAATATTAGGGATTGTGTTACATCTTATGCATGAATGAGTCTGTTGAGCGATGGAAACGCCACAGTGGGACTGGTCGGCAGTGACAGGCGTTCAGACCTCCCAGACGTTCTTGCGAGTCCATATCTACTTCTTGCAGACGACTTGAAATCCTGGAGTACCAATGCCAGTGTCCTCCAAATGGATATAGACGCTGCCAAGCAGTGGCCGTTGGACTGGCACCTTCCTCAGAGTGATGAAAAGTGCGTCCACGTGTCGTTTGG